CATTTTCTATAGATTTATTATTGCTTTAAAGGCATAATGAAAAGTAATTTCCCCAGTGAGCTACAAGAGCAGACCGTTAGCCATCTTCTGGGTTGGGGCCTCCGCTGCAGAAGACCCCCCCAAAGACCTGAGGCTTCTCTGCTCCATCACAGTAGGAAGTTTCTGGAGAAGGCTGACCCCTTTAAGTCAAGCAGCACTTGTCAGCAGAGGGGGCGCTAATGAAAAGAGGGAGTGCTAAAAAATAAGGATGCACCTGCTGCTGCTACTATATAAAGACTTGGTTTCAGCTTGCTTGTGGTTCAAGTCTCTGCCTTGCCTTGAGTCTGAACACTGCTATGTCTTTGCCTTGCCTCACCCTGTATCCTGTCTGAATCTTGTCCCACCTTGCTTTGCCTTGCACCCACATGAGGCCTTGCCTTGCACGACAGGGATATTTGTGAAAGAGAAATTATCCCACCAGATTACCACAGAGTAGTCCAAAAGGAATTAGGAGTGAAGACTAGAGATGCCAATGTAACTCCTGATTCTGACTGGGGCTTGGCTATGACTTTTAGGAGCTTGTAATGTTTGGTTCAAAAGCGAGGAGAAAATCAGAATCAACAAATTCATCAGATTTTAACTTGGCTTTTCCAGGCCAATAACTGTGCAGAGCATGTCACCCATCCTTATGAATACAGTTATATATCCTAAGTATGGTGACTTTTTCTGTCCCATGAACAAATGCATCAGAGTGTAGCATGTGTGTGTCAAAATCAATTCCACAACAATTTAGAATGTTTGTGGTCTGGTTCACATGCCACCGTAAGCCGAAGAAAAATCCTTGGCTGCAGATCATAGGTAAGGAGAAGACAGTTTAACCATAAATCTCTGTGGTGCAATGGATCAGTGTGTCTGACTGTCAACCACAAGGTTGGTGGTTTGAGCCTACCCAGGGATGGCTGTGGGCAGGATTCCTGCATTGCAGGGAGTTGGACTAGATGACCCTTCCAATCCCGCAATTCTGTGATCCTAGGTTTGGACAACACAAAAAGCCAAACTTTGACTTAGCTGCCATGCAACACTAAGCCAAAAGAAACAGGGAGGAGCAAAGCAATTGTGGTTTCCTCCCTGGGAGCCAGCACATTTTCAGTGTCCTGGTAAGATGTGGTTCTGTGCAAACACAGCTAATTTGTCTTCCCCCTTAGATTTTATCATGGGAATACATACATGGGAAGATGGCAAAGTTGAAAGTTTTCAATAAATATAAATCACATTTGACTGTTATTGCTCCTACATATTTATTAGCTAAATCTATATAATGTCCTTCTTCAAAAGGCCACAGAATGGTTTGCAACAGAATACAAATCGAAGCAGTTATATACCAGTAAATGCATTTATGGTAAGAAATACAGGCGGCAACCATTTTGTGTGGGGTTCCATTCCTGGCCCCTGCATGTCACTGGAGCATGCAGAAGCCCCCCACCCTGTTACCCCCATTATGTCCACCGTTCCACCACCATTCTGCCTTCTTTCGCGTTCACATGGACCCATGCGTCGGCTGTCAACTGGACGCACGTAAATGGTTGCTGCCTGTACATAGTAAAATAAAATATTTGTGCTCATCCTTCAACCATATAATATTTACCTCCACAGCTAAATTGATTCCATTTGCAAGGTCATTAGCTTCACTAAGGATGTCATTTCCTTCTTTTAGAGTGTTTTCGACCGCCTGTCGTCCATCTTCTAAAGCTTGCTTCTTTTCCTATGGATTATATTTGTTTATGTGAGGGAAACGGCTCAAAATGAATATGCATTTGTTTATATATTTTATATTTAATAAAACATTGTGTTTGCAGCACTTTTGTTGCTTATTTTGTGTTATGAAGTACAGGAAGGTGTTTGTAAGAAACCTCAGGATTTCTACCTTCTGTAATATCAGATTTAGGAAATTACATACAAAGCTGAGTAAGTGATTGTAAAATGCTATACATCTGGTTAATCTTTCCAGCATTCTGTGAAAAATGTCATTTTGGGGAGCTTGCCATGATCTGAGGAATCTGATTAAAACAGAGAATTCAAAGGGATGATTACATCATAAAATTCTACAGGGAAGAAAATATTTTAATTTTCTGCATCTTCCTTCTCTCTACCTTGAAGAAGCAACTGATCTACCTTTAGGGAATGGCGATGGTTAGCCCTTCAGGCCCCCCAAGTATTTTATGGAAGCTAGCATCATGCAACTCACAACAGCCCTGAGGCAGAAAAGACTGAAACAAACAGGAAACCAAAACATTTGTCTTCATTTGAGGTTGACTTCATTCTTACTGTCATGGCTAAGCACTTGTTAATGTATGGTATAATGTGCTTTCAAGACTTCGCAATTAAAATTAAATCAAGAGAAATCATTTGCACCAGTTGCTAACAATAAAAGATATAGGGTAGTTTGATTTATAATCTGAATTTACATATGCCCATTTAATTCCTGACTTGAGAACAAGACAGAATGAGGAAGTATATCCATCCTAATACTAAATCTTGATTGGCTGGGTCTGTGTATAGTCTCAACACAGATTTTAGAACAATGATTGTTTGGGCCATGACTACTTGGGTTGCTATATTCCATCTGTACTATAATATACACATGCGTAGATCACATACTATTCACTAGAGTAAAAATTTAAGTTCCATTTCATTTCTTTATGGCATCAATAGTAGTTTCAGTAATTTAACTTAGTCCCCCAACTAGGAATTAAAACAACATGTCAATTAATTTGTCAAGATTTTAAATCTGCTTGTAGTGTTTTAAAAGCAGAGGGAAAAACATTTCTGATTCTGAGAGAATCTGCATGTGGTAGATAGTCAGACAGTCAGAGTGGGGCATCTCACCTCCACAGATGTCATATTTCCTTGGTTGATTGCAGATAGTCTATTTGCCTCCCTAATTTTGTTGGTTGCTTCTCTCAGCAGGTCTAGAGCATCATCAACTTTATCTTGGTAGTCTGCCAGCTTGTCTCGGACTTCATTTTTGAGCTCCTCTGTTCTCTTCCTAGGATCTCCAAACAGTTTATTCACTCTCTTTAAGAGGGCTTCTGCTGCTCTGTAATGTATGAGACACGGTATTGTTAATATGCCTGCCATACTTATGATTCCATGTGCTTATGATGTCTGTTTTAAAATGGACTTGGGTTAGATTTTCTTACAAATTATTAGAACACATTACAAAATTGCCTGGATCCCCTCACTTCTGGGTGTTTATTCCAACTCTGTAATATTGGTAAAAAACACACACAACCAAATCATGTGATGAATGTCTAAATCCAAACCAGAAACATCAGCAGCAAATCTAACTTTCTGCTGCTTGCCATGCTTAATTTGGAGGACAAAACAAAAACAAAAACCCTATTCCAAAGAGGTTTCGTGTTGACTGATTCTGGCCTAAATTGCAGATTTGCAAAGTTGCAAACCAATGTTTGCAATCAACTTCATTTTTTATTTTTTGCATATAGTTTTTTCAACAAATTAAGAAAAGTCCTCTCATTAACCTTCAGTTTACAAGCAGGGTCAAATGCACCCTGATTGCACTATAAAGAAATCATTACTAAATTGTTTTAGATAGTCTTCAACCCTAATGAAATGCAAATTGGCATGTGGTGCTTCAAATTAGTGAAAAAATCTATGTTTTCACTTGTGGCTTTGGGGGTCAATTCTACCCCTATTTGAATGAATGAAAAAACCCATACCTTTAACTGATGTGTAATTTAATCAATATGGATATGGAATGCTATTCTAGGTTGTGGTTAGCTCCAGGGCTGTCTTAAGCATATGCAGCGCTGGGGTGCAAAGATCCGCCTGGTGTCCCCCCCCCGGTTGCCCAGTCCCAGGTGTGAAGGAGAGCAGAGCCAGCCAGCCACCTTAGTGTCTTGCTGGCTCGGTCGCCCCCGAACTCGCGGTGCAGAGCCGTCCGCAGCAGAAGAGCCCGCCATGATGCTCCAACTGATGGGCGGGCTCTTCCCCGGACTCAGCTCTTGGGCCTGGACTCTCAGCCTGGGGCCCCGAGAGCCTGGCGCTTGGGTGCCCTGTACCCCTAGCGCCTATGGGTAAGACGGCCCCAGTTAGTTCAAGTTTCAGCACTACCTTGGAGTTGGAGAGCGCCTGGATTTGTCAGATCACAGGAATAGACACATGGAGGCCATGCAACTGAAGCTGCCATTCCATGTTACAAGTAGCCAGCTGGCAACCAATACTATCCACACAGAATGAGGAAACGGGGAAAGTCCTGCTACACAAGCAGATATCCTTGCACTGTTTGAATGGGTTAGTTGACTCCCACCCTATATTTTCACACACCAGTTCCTTGTTATCTCCCATGTCTTCCTGTTATTCCTGTTTTACTTTCTCACCCCTGCCCTCTGTTTGAAATAAATAGCACACTCTTAACCTTAAAATGAAACAAAAATCATAGTAACCTATGTATTTAATTTTACATGCTACTATAGCCAAAGATCTGACTGGTTATTTCAAAGTAATCAGCGTAGAATAGCAGAATAAGCTTGAATTTCTGAGTATTTTCCAGTTTTGTCTGCCATGTCAGCTATCTATTGTACTGAACCACCGTACTAGAAGGAGTAGAGTTACATACAATGAGTTATACTGTGGTCTTTAATTCATTACTCAGATGTAAGTTCCCCTGAAATCAATAGGATTTATTCTCAAGTCATGCATTTAGAATGAAAAGGGAAACTGCAAAGGGAAAAGAATGACATGAAATTAGACATAAATTAATGTGAAAATAGTAATGGGGATCTTTTCGATAACAAACAGTTTATCTATGGGAATATGTTTGCTGGCAAATAGATCTGTGTGCTTGAAAAAGAGCTATTCTGTACAGGTGACAATAGATGTAGCTGCCCAGTGCCTCACTGTTCCAACATTTATTTCTAGGAAAACGGTCAAAGAAGTGGTCAGGTCAGCATAGCTGGGTGTGTATGGGATAACCTCAGGCAACTACTGTTGGTGCTTTTCTAAAGCTATTAATCCAGACAATAAATATGAAGGCTCCAAGTATCCAAATATGCCAGTACAAACCAGGTTTTTGGAGGATCTGGTTAGGTTTAATCATTTTTGGCTACTTAGAGCAAATCTTCCAATGCTGAGAAATGACTATGAGTTTTCTGAATCAGAAAATAAATCCTTACTATTATCCCTGCCTTCATTGTCTATTTGAGTGGACCAGAACCACTACCGAAAATTCAAGTTCCACTGAAATCTGAACAAATTAGTCATTTTCTTTAGAACTCATTTGCTAACTCATTTTTATTTATCACTTTGCTACTCACTCTAGCTCATCTTGGGCTGCCTTCTCTTGGGCATCCAGCTTTCTCTTCCTGAGCAATGCCATCATTCTGTCAACATCCCTCTGCAATTCTTGAAGGCTTTTGTCCAGCGGCTTGTCTGGGGTTCCAAGTGTCTCATTCAGCTTTAAAGCTGTTTCGTTTGCAGCTGCAGAAAAGTTGACAAATTATATATATCAACAAAGAGAGACAAGGGAAAACAGCGGAAGGGAAGGAAATGGAAGCAGGGATAAACAGAAGATTGTTATTATTATCATTTATTACCCACCCTTCACCCCGAGGTCCCAGGGAGGGTTACAACAATTAAAGCAAAATAAATACATGTTTATTGTTACAGATAGGTAGCCGTGTTGGTCTGCCATAGTCAAAACAAAAAATTCCTTCCAGTAGCACCTTAAAGACCAACTAAGTTAGTTCTTGGTATGAGCTTTCGTGTGCATGCACACTTCTTCAGATACACAGTAAATAAACAATATACATGTTTATTGGTTATACTTGAGCCATATTCAAGCACTCAAAAACCCTAATATGAATATCTGGGAGAGTGGGGATGTTTGCTCCACCCTCCACCCCCAATCACCTTACATGACCTGGAAGAATAAATTCCAAAGTTAGGAGTTTGCTCTACTCAAGTAGCTTTCCTGTGTGATTTAGAATCCTGATTTTCTATGGTTCTGAATCATGCAAAGCAGGTCCTTGTGAACAGAGTAGGTTTCCTGTTTCAGAAGTTATTCTTCCACCTCATGGAGAGTGACAGGTGGGCAGAGATAGTGTGCTCAATCCAGCTTTCCTGTATTGTTTTCAGGATTTAGAATATATGAACTGGGCTATAAGTAAGCTTGGTTAGAGTGGGATATGAGGACTAGGTTGCTGTACTAAAAGCTTTATAGAAAAGGTGGGATTTGAAGCAAACAGGGGGGTTAAATTATTATCAGGGACAATATAAATAGTGAAACTTTGGAGACTGGGGAAATAATTTTTAGTGAAAGGTCTGGATTATGTTAAAAGATTGTTTGTTAGAGACAATCCTTAATTTGCAATAGATTGAGAAATAATTGTATGGAGACTTCTTAGGGCAGAGCAAGAAGTCAACAGTATACATAAAGCATTCATCATTGTATGTTTGGTACACTATAATACTATAAATAATGTCAGAGAGCCTGAACTTAAGACTCGTTACATCAAATTAAGTGTCTGGGATGGTGTGAAGCTTATGCTTCAGAGGAAACTCCCCCAAAAGAATGCTACAATCATCTATGCATTTAGGACAGGAATGTTAATTTATTAGTATCCAGATTTTTGTGAATGTAAGAGACATTCATAACACCATGAAAATTGAAAACACAGCCTCCTAGGTTGCCTTATACTATGTCAGACTTTGTCCCTTTGGACCAAAATTGTCTACTCTGGCTGGCAGCAGCTATCCAGGGTTTCAATGAGAAGCGTTTCCCATTAATTGCTGTCAGGTTTTTAGCAGGAAACCTCCCCCCCCAGTCTCACTAAGGGCCTTTCCAATATTTCTTATTAAATGATGAATCGCTGAATCGCCTGTGCAAAGAAGGGCTGGTTCTCGCCTCTTAATTCAGCTTTCAGTGCTGGGTGTGTGGAATCATATATATATATATAATATATATATATATATATATATATATATTTGCTTTCGTAGATTTTCACGGGTACAGGAATGCAGGTTTTGGTGTCCTCGGGTGTCTTCCCGTGTAAAAGTTGGGGTGTCTAGGCGACGTTTCGACGAGGTCTCACTCGTCATCTTCAGGCTGGTGCTTTCGGCTTCTTGTTACTGGAACAGAGCAGGATCTCAGTGTTTGAGTTCCTATAAATACTGTTGAGGGGGGTGTGGTGTATAGCCTCCAATGTTCTGGGCAGAGAGGAAGTTCCCAGGTTAGTGTGCCTTTTCTTCTTTTGTTCCTTAATTACTTGAGGGATATCTTGAGTGATTTCTTGAGTGATATCCTGAGTACCACTTAGGTGGGTCATTAGGTGTGGATTAGTTGCTAAAGCCTTCGTGTCTTGACCTCTTGAACTTTGTGAAGAGTTTTTCTGAGAAGATGGCTGTACTGCAATTAGTTGTGCTCTGGCTTGGCTTCGTGTATAGGGGCGAGCTGTGGTTTTGTGTCCTGTGCCAGCCAGATCTGTGTAGGGATTGCAGGGGGGTGCAGCATCCGGAGGTGCCACCATGGTTTGGCTACTGGATGGTGTCTGTAATTTATCTGTGGAGAGGGTCTGGGTTTGGGTCTGGTGTGGTTGATTGGTGATGGCGTTCTGTGTGCCTCTGGATCTGGTGTCGGTTTTTGTGGGGAGGGCTAATTTCCAGATGTCTGGCAGGCGGGATGTGTCGTCACGCTTGTTCATGTTGTGAGGTGTTTCTCTATCTCGATGGCTTCCATGATTATTCTCTTGTGGTGATGTTCCATGTTAGAGAGCAATTTGGAATCTGCCAAAATTAATTTCGTGTCCTGTTTCTTTCATGTGTTGGAAAAGAGAGGAAGTTTTTTCTTCTTTTTTGACGGCATTCTTGTGTTCTGCGATACGTGCATTTATTCGTCTGTTTGTTTGTCCAATGTACGTGGCTGGGCAGACTTTGCAGGGTATTTCATAGACCCTTGGTTTTCCAACTGGATTTTATCCTTGGGGTTTCTGAGGATATTGGCTATTTTTGGTTGGTGCAAAAGGCTGTTTTGATATTGTGTTTATGGAGGATTTTGCTAATTTTATCTGTAGTGCCCTTGATATAAGGAAGGAGGGCCATGCCATTGTTTTCTTCTGTGTCTTGGTTTTTGGGGGGTGTTTCTTTTTGCATTAGCTTCGTAACCCTGTTTTGCTGGTATCCATTGGCGATTAACACATTGGAGAGATTCTGTAACTCAGTTGTCAAGTGGTCTTTGTCAGCCAGGCGTTTGGTTCTGGAGATGAGAGTCTTGGCTACGGAGTTTATTTGTGCAGGGTGGTGGTGTGATTGTGCATGTAAGTAGCGGTTGGTGTGTGTTTTTTTTCCGGTAGATAGTGTGTCCTAGGGAGCCATCAGGTTTTTTTGTAGATTAGGACGTCAAGGAAGGGAAGTTGGTTGTTGGCTTCTATTTCCATAGTGAATTGTATTTTGGGGTGTAGGCTGTTGAGATGTGTGAGGAAGCTATCCTAGTTTTTCCTTCCCGTGTGGGCCAAATTAGCAAAGGTGTCGTCAACATATCTGAGCCAAAGTTTGGGTTTGTGTTCTGACTTGTCTAAAGCATTGGTTTCAAAGTGTTCCATGTACAGGTTTGCGATGACCGGTGAGAGTGGTGATCCCATAGGTGCTCTTCTATCTGTTTGTATAGCACCTATGATCACCACTCTCACCGGTCATCGCAAACCTGTACATGGAACACTTTGAAACCAATGCTTTAGACAAGTCAGAACACAAACCCAAACTTTGGCTCAGATATGTTGACGACACCTTTGTAATTTGGCCACACGGGAAGGAAAAACTAGATAGCTTCCTCACACCATCTCAACAGCCTACACCCCAAAATACAATTCACTATGGAAATAGAAGCCAACAACCAACTTCCCTTCCTTGACGTCCTAATCTACAAAAACCTGATGGCTCCTAGGACACACTATCTACCGGAAAAAACACACACCAACCGCTACTTACATGCACAATCACACCACCACCCTGCACAAATAAACTCCGTAGCCAAGACTCTCATCTCCAGAACCAAACGCCTGGCTGACAAAGACCACTTGACAACTGAGTTACAGAATCTCTCCAATGTGTTAATCGCCAATGGATACCAGCAAAACAGGGTTACGAAGCTAATGCAAAAAGAAACACCCCCCAAAAACCAAGACACAGAAGAAAACAATGGCATGGCCCTCCTTCCTTATATCAAGGGCACTACAGATAAAATTAGCAAAATCCTCCATAAACACAATATCAAAACAGCCTTTTGCACCAACCAAAAAATAGCCAATATCCTCAGAAACCCCAAGGATAAAATCCAGTTGGAAAACCAAGGGGTCTATGAAATACCCTGCAAAGTCTGCCCAGCCACGTACATTGGACAAACAAACAGACGAATAAATGCACGTATCGCAGAACACAAGAATGCCGTCAAAAAAGAAGAAAAAACTTCCTCTCTTTTCCAACACATGAAAGAAACAGGACACGAAATTAATTTTGCAGATTCCAAATTGCTCTCTAACATGGAACATCACCACAAGAGAATAATCATGGAAGCCATCGAGATAGAGAAACACCCTCACAACATGAACAAGCGTGACGACACATCCCGCCTGCCAGACATCTGGAAATTAGCCCTCCCCACAAAAACCGACACCAGATCCAGAGGCACACAGAACGCCATCACCAATCAACCACACCAGACCCAAACCCAGACCCTCTCCACAGATAAATTACAGACACCATCCAGTAGCCAAACCATGGTGGCACCTCCGGATGCTGCACCCCCCTGCAATCCCTACACAGATCTGGCTGGCACAGGACACAAAACCACAGCTCGCCCTATACACGAAGCCAAGCCAGAGCACAACTAATTGCAGTACAGCCATCTTCTCAGAAAAACTCTTCACAAAGTTCAAGAGGTCAAGACACGAAGGCTTTAGCAACTAATCCACACCTAATGACCCACCTAAGTGGTACTCAGGATATCACTCAAGAAATCACTCAAGATATCCCTCAAGTAATTAAGGAACAAAAGAAGAAAAGGCACACTAACCTGGGAACTTCCTCTCTGCCCAGAACATTGGAGGCTATACACCACACCCCCTCAACAGTATTTATAGGAACTCAAACACTGAGATCCTGCTCTGTTCCAGTAACAAGAAGCCGAAAGCACCAGCCTGAAGATGACGAGTGAGACCTCGTCGAAACGTCGCCTAGACACCCCAACTTTTACACGGGAAGACACCCGAGGACACCAAAACCTGCATATATATATATATATATATATATATATATGAAGCATGGATCCAACATTTCATGATGCTGCTACCGTACGAAAACGTAGATGGAGACGATTTCACCGCGAAATCAGATTCAGTGTTTCATGGTACAGTGGTGGAACAAAAATTAAGACCCGAGGCGCAGAGCTTCGTGGTTTTATAGTCAAGCCAAACAAATCCAGTTTCTAATCATAGAACACATCAGATGTGGGCTTTCGCACCCACAGTACAGTGGGCCTCTTATTTTCAACCAGGCAGTCTGGGGGCACAGATGCAAGTGATGACTGGATGATTCATTTGAAGCATCCTATTATAAGCGTGAGGATCTATAAGCATTTCCTACTTTAAATATATCTAGGTTTACGTGCCATGGCAGGCCACAATTTAAATCGATCTGTGATTCCCATGAAGCAAGAGGAACTGCGATTAGCTGGCGAGTGTCCTTAGGGTTTGTGTTCTCCTAGTAGAGTTCAGTTCGTGTTCTCCTAGTAGAACTCAGCAAGTGGTAGGATTGAGACAAAACCTGAATGAATTGGCTCTACCTGTCATTCACTCTGGCCCATGCCTACTGTTGGTCTACCTGCCTTTCCGCCCTACCACTCCCAAAGACACTAGCCACTGCGGAGCTCTCCCCCCATGAAACAATGTTTGTCAGCCATTTTTCTCCCCATGAGGCTGGGTGATCAGTAATAATCGCCACTGGCGTGGGTGGAAAAGATAAGAGAATGAGTCCCAGGAAGGTGGGTGAGTGTGGACTGAACCTGCCCTGCTACCCATTTTGCTTTACAATCCTGACAACAGAGGATGGCCACTTGCAGCCTGAATCAAGCCTTTTGAACTCTGGGACTGGAACCAAAACATCCTCTTTGAGGCAAGAAGCAAGTCCAGCTAATGAGAAAATTGGCACAGAGATCCAAATTTGATGAAGTAATCTTTCCTGTAAAATTGGCTCTTAGAAGTAGTCTAAGTAACACGAAATGCACAAATGCGGCCCAGTGTGTTTAATTCCCGTTTTACCATTTGTAGTGACTGGATTTCCCAGAAGTAGAATTAAAATGGGGGTCTGAGCAGGAGAGCGGTGCAGGTTGCATGGAGTCCTGGTTATCAGTTGCCCTTTGTGTGCATTTCCAGTGCTACTTGATCCACCCCTTCATTACAGAGGAGTTTCAGAGGACAGGCTGCTTCTTTGTTAGGCGAGACGAGAGGCAACGCAGGTGAGACACATATTACTGGCCCGGTTCCTTTGGCAAAAGTTGTGTCGACATCCTCATGTGGAGCAGTCCGCACAGGTTCCGGTTCCTTTGGCAAAAGTTGTGTCGAACATCCTCATGTGGAGCAGTCCGCACAGGAATTCAGTGTGTCACGTAACACTTTTTGGAAAGAACTTTCTCACCAATTTATTCCTTTAGTCCATCTGTATCTGATCCCATCCATCCTCCGAGAATCTCACAGCAGCATACACTGATCCTCTCTCCCCAACCCCCCTGCCGCTGCCTTGCTTTATCCTCACAACTCTGTGTGGTAGGTTAGGCTGAGAAATTGTACCAACTTGCCCAGGGTTACCCAGCCATGGCTGGGGGGGGGGTTGAACTTGACCTTTAACCTCTGCACCACACAGGAACTGTTAGGTACAGAGTTGGTGTAGTGTAGGGACTAGGAGTATGAAGAATATCTCTGCTTCGAATCTCACTCAGCTATTGTCGGTTATGATTGGTTTGAAGAAGAATTCCCTGGATCCAGACGTGTGGCATGCACTCTCCAATAAGAGAGCTCAAGCAGAAGTTTAAAATCACAAAACATGCAGCGAAGTAAAGTGTGGAAATATAGTCTGCTACTAACATGAGTTTGACCAAACTGCAGGAGGCAGTGGAAGACAGGAGTGCCTGGCGTGCTCTGGTCCATGGGGTCACGAAGAGTCGGACACGACTAAACGACTAAACAACAACAAATACCTTTAAAAATCCAGTTTTTAGAATCATAGAATCATAGAGTGGGAAGGGACCTTGAGGGTCATCTAGTCCAACCCTCTGTAATGCAGGAATATGCAGCTGGCCCATATAGGGATCGAACCCATGACCTTGGCATTATCAGCACCATGCTCTACCACTGAGCCACCTTCTTTAAAGTCTCTTTCAAAGCAACTTTAGCATAGAAAAAACTGAATAGTTTGGTAAAGTTAAAAAAAAAGGTTTACTTTCAAACCTTTCAAAGGTCACATTCATGTGCTTTTTCATACAGCAGCAAGAAAACACAGGCAAAAAAGGTTAGTCATGTTTCTAAAATACACAGTCTGGGCTTGGAGTGATTAGCCCAGATGTCTTCTCTGGTCAGATTCACATGGTGGAAGAGAGCACTGCTAACGCAGTGGTTTGACTTCACCCCTGGAGGAGCACTCCATTGTCTCTCGAGACAAGACGGATGCCAAAAATGTCCTCAGGTAAGATCTCTCAGCCTGAGTTCTCTCCCTCATATCTGCAATAAGTCAGTAATTCCAATCTGCTCCACAAGATTGTTGTTGCTGGGACAAAGTATGAGAAGAGTGTCAAACAAATTGCCATTGTTTGCTATTTAGTTACTTCTCTTTTTTCGAAAAAGGAAATACCTGGCTCTGTGCATATTGCAGTGAGGAACGTCAGGCAGCTGCCATTTTAAATACACTCCCTAGGGGGAAGCGTGTCCATCAAACATAGTGGGAGTTGCTTCTGACTAAACATGTATGGGGTTGCCCTTTCTGTTTTAAAGTGCTCAGATCCATCCAGAAACAAATATTCCACTAACCTCATGTGCCTTCCATAAAGTTTGAAACCTGGTTGTTGGGTTTTTTTCCATTCCCTTTGAAACAAATGCAATTTTGGGTGTCTGAAAGTCAAAGCTGCCAGAGCGTGACTGGAAGTCTGTAAGAGATCAAATAACAGAGAGGTGACTGAATCTGAAGCAGAAATTTTCATTGATGGGGGGGGGGGGCAACCCAGCTGCTTCACCTTTCCTCTTTTGCTGTGTTTCCAGTCACAATTGCCTCCCAGCTTTCTTTTGCCCATGGGGAAAAATATACACAGCTTCCAGAGAGCTGCTGTTTTCGGATTGTATACACACTCTTTAAAGTACATGTCAAAGCACATTCTCGCCTCCAAAGCACATTCTCGCCTGGGGCACCGTACTTTACTCCTCCAATTTCCATAAAACTGCTAACAAACTACCAGTGACCAGAATTCTTTGAGGGGGAAATGTGCTTTGAAGCTGTGTAGTGTGCACACAACCACATACTGGCAAATTAAGGTCACACAATTAAAAGTTGATTTGGTGCACAAGGTACACCTCCTTTCCCCAAAATCAGACGTTTCGTGATAAGGAAAGTCTCAAGAAAATGCTCTAGAAGCCTGGGATATCAAGTATCACCTC